ATTAGTAATTAGTATTAGTTTACAGATGGTGTCCTACTTCCTTGTGAAGGATGTCCTATTTTTCCTCAGGCTTCCATTCTGATTAAAATCAGTCTGTGTTATTGGTCCCAGCTTGGGAACTGGTCAGAAGGCATAAATTCAGAACTGTCCCCACCTCCCCCTTCTTAGTCAGTGGCATTGTTGCAGGCAGAGACAGGTGGGCAGAGACACCAGGCACAGTCTGGTGGGGAGGCATGCTGCGCCAGGCAGATGGGCATGCAGGCACTACTGCTGCAGCATGGAAACAAGGTGGGCAGACTAGAGCAGGTGCCACCCTTCCTACCTGGCAGGCTCAATCTGAGCAGCAGCTGGAGGCAGGCTGGAATGGACACTGCTCCAGTCCATCGGCTTGTCTGGAGCATCATGCCACTCTGTCTCCCCACCAGACTGCGCCCCCCATACCTGCTATTCCAGGACTTTTCACCAGCCATTAGGGACCAGCCTATGAAATCTGGGACTGTCCCAGCCAAATTGGGATGCATGGTCACCATGCATCTAGGGGAAATAAAACCTCTCATATGAATACATCATCATCTAACTCTCTCATCCCCAGTTAGTTATTCCATTTAAAAAATAGGGAAATTAAACCTCTAAATAGACTGTCCAGGTACACACAGGATAGCTGTGTCAGATCCAACAACAGAACACCCCAGAAAAACCCTCCTCCCTCTTTAACAAAAGACTATCTACCCTGGAATAGGAAGCTGAACATTTTCAATTGTTCAACTACTTGTATTAAACCTACATTCATTTTCCATCCATGCAACATATTAACAGGAGACAGATACACCCCAGCATAGAAGCAGCCTTAGATTACAAAACCTGAAACCTACTATCTGCCAGCTCTACATCTGGCAATGATATTGGGCATCTTCCTCAAGGCAGTAAACCCTTTATGCCTAAGATTTCCTGGCTGTCAAGCAAAGATAATTATGTGATACTGTGGGGTCTCTAGGTTAACATTTTTGTACCTCTTAAATATGAAAAAAATCACTAAGCATGTTAATATGTTTGGGAGTAAGACCTTTTTCCTTTTTCTCCTTCCCCAAGTATGTGCCCATCCCCTACATTTCACACAACACTTGGGGGAAGAAAGGTGGGGGGAAGGGGCAAAAAGAAGTATCCATCAGAGCCTTAAGTTTTAACACAATTTCAAGGACAACAAAAAAATGTATTGGACCTAACACATTTGAAAGAGACTTTTTATTATCAGTTTTCTAGCCTGCCCCGTGAGAGATTCAGTTTTTGACTTGTTTTGATTCTATCCAGGCAACCTCAGGTAAGGCCAAAGATCATTTCAATTCCAACGGATTCTCAGCCCCACTTGCAAAATTGGCCTGAGTGCTAGAACCGAATTTGTGTAGGGGCTAATCCCACTCTCAAGTGCTGCAACCCCTACTTAGGAAACAAATAAAGAACAGAGATTACTTAAACCCAAGTGCAAATGATCAAGTTCTGATAGACTAGAACCAACCAACACAAAAACCTGTCACAAAGAGAGCGGAAAGAAACCAGAGATCCCTCAGGTTTCTGGAGACAGGCTTAGGGAAAAGAGAAGAGCTACTAAAACAGTTCAGTGAAATCCATGTTCCTTTAGAGATTTTATACTGGACGTAGTGAGGTTAAAGCAAGGTCTCAATGGGTAGATGCAGATAAATTAAGCGTCAGGCTTAATCAACATTTTTCAAATAAAAGGCTGATTTATTATAATTACACTACCAAAATAAAAATATCCTAAGTTTTTTCAATTTGAAAATAATCTTAAAAAGGAATCAATTTTTAATACAAAGCATTAAGGCCCGTCTTCAAGAAAAGGAAGAAGGATGGAAGATCCAGGGAACTACAGGCCAATCATCAGTTTTATCTCAATCCCTGGAAAGATGGGGGGTGGGAATTAAAAAAAATAATAAATAAATCAATGAAACCACCAACAAGAGGCTAATGGAAGGCAACGTTCTGAGAGAGCGCCAACTTGGCTTCATTGTGGGTAGGTGTTGCCTGACCAACCTCATTTCCTTCTATGACCAGGTGGCGCATTACCTGGACAAAGGAGAAGAGGTTGATGTCATATACTTAAGTTTTAAAAAAAGCCTTTGATTTGGCCTCCCATGATGTCCTCATGGTAAAATTGTGGAACTGTGGCCTCGACAACCTTGCAGTCCAATGGCTGGGGAACTAGCTCTGTGGTCAGACCCAGAGAGTAATAGTCGATGAAACCAAGTCAACATGGCACATGGTGACCAACCCTCAGGGCTCAGTACTCAGACCAGTGCTCTTTAATATATTAATAAATGATCTGGATTAGTGTGTCAGAAGTGGACTGGCTAAGATCGCAGATGACACTAAACTATAGGGAAGTGCAGTCACGCTAGAGGATAGGTTGGAGATTTAGGCCGACTTGGACAGGCTCGCAAGGTGGGTGCATCCAAACCCAATGACAACACCCACACCATACTTATAAGCTCAGCAGTGCCACATTCACTAACACCACAACCAAGAGAGACTTGGGGGTCATAAATGACCACAAGATGAACATGAGCCACCAATGCGATGCCACAGCCAGCAAAGCAAATAACTCTTGGGCTTGCATCTACCGATGCATCTCAAGCAAGACCCAAGAAGCCATCCTCCCTCTTTACCTGGCCTTAGTGAGGCCACAGCTGGAGTACTGCATCCATTTCTGGGCTCCACACTTTAGAAAGGATGTGGAGAAACTTGACAGAGTCTGGAGAAGAGCCATGCACATGATTAAAGGTCAGGAGACCAGGCCTTATGGAGAAAAGGTAGAGAGGCATGGGACTCTTCAGCCTGGAGAAGTGAAGGCTCAGGGGTGACTTGGTGGCAGCCTATAAGTATATAAGGGGTGTACACCAGGCACTGGGAGAATGGCTGTTCACCAGAGCACCCCAAGCGAAGACAAGGTCTAACCTTCACAGACTGCTGTAAGATCATTTTAGACTGGACATAAGAAAAGTTTCCAGAGTCTGGAATAGACTTTTACCAGAAGTGCAACTGGATACCTTTAAGAAACACTTGGATGCTTATCTTGCTGGGGCGATCTGACCCCAGCCAACTTCCTGCCCGCTGGGCAGGGGGCTGGATCTGATGATCTTGCAAGGCCCCTTCCAGCCCTAATGCCTATGAAATAAGGCCTACAATTATTACAATCTTTGGAAACATTTAAGTAAGAAATACATGCACTGAACTCATAGCTCACTGAAATTCAGTATGGGAATTTAAGAGAAGTGTGATCTCCTAATTGTAAAACTAAAGGATTGCCCAAAAACAATCAAAACTAATACACACCTCAGAAAGAACCTCTAAAGAAAACAAAACTAAAAACCAACCTTTCCATGTACATTTAGTAGGTACTCTCTCAAGAAATTTAAAGAAGCTGGAAGTTTTCCTTGACAAATCTGAAATAAGCAGTTTAAGTTACTGCTTAAAATTACTTCTTCTGTTCAGTAAATCTTTTAGCTGTAAAATGCAAAATGCGTATATAAAAGAAATATATACATCCAAAACATTTAAAGTAATTTCCTCAATACTCTTAAAATGCCATTTGAGCATTTCATACAACTCCAGTTACCATTCCAATGCATCTGCTTGATAAGACGCAAAAATTATTACCTAGTAAAGAAGGAATTTGACTGATGATGAATAACATTTTTAACTATGTAACTGTTTACATGTACACAGTTATACTGGAGCTTTCAGGTAGCAAAACTGTGTAGAACAGTGGTAAATAGAGGTGCACCGATATTGGTCCAGATCGTATTGGCACTGATAAAAGGAAAACCGACATCAGCAATTAGCTTTTTTTGGCCAGTGTGGCCGATATTTTGCTTTAAATAAATGATGCATGCAAGTGTGCAGCCTCAGGCATGCACACAGCCAGGAATGCAGCCTGGCAGCATGGAGAGCAGCATCTGGCTGGTAAGTCTGTGGTGGGGGGAACAGCAGGTAGATAGAGGCCCCCATGGTGAGGGAGGGGGTAGGGCTGGGGCAGGGTGGAGAGCTGCCCAGCTGGGGCAAGGCACAGGACACACTGCATGCATCCCCACAGGAAGCATGGGGGCATGTGCCCCACCCCCCCGGATTTGTGCACAGGGTGAGAATGGGCTGCTTGCTGTGGGTTTGGGGCCAGGGGCTCTGCCAACCTCTTCCCAGTGAGAGGGGGGGCTGGGTGGTGGTGGCAGTGCTGGAGGGGGACTATGGGGTAGTTTAAGGCCACCCCAGAATTTCCTGTAGCCACTCTGTAACCTCCTTTCCCAACACTGCCACTGCCCACCCTGCCCCTGCCCACTTGGAATGCAGCCCTGGCCCAGCTGTCCTGCCAGAAAAAAGCCAGCACACCCCCTGACCCTGAACCCACAGTGGGCAACCTGCCTTTGCCCCACGTACAAATCTGGGGGCACATGCTCCCTATGCCTCACCTGGGGGTGCACACAGGGTTACAGAACTGTCACCCCTTCCTGGACAAGCCACCCACAGCTATGTCCTGTGCCCTGTCCCTCCCCATCACTATAGGGACCTCAATCTGCACCCCCTTTCCTTCCACAGACTTACTGATGGGATGCATATCAGCTATCGATTGGTATCACATGATATGGCTGGTTAATTATCAGCCAAAAAAATTTTTTACCAGTGCACCCCTAGTGGTAAAGTTACATATTTTGTTTTGATATCAACTAATGATATACACCTTTTTTTAGCAAGCAAAAGAAATATAAATGGAAAAAAAATGTTTGAAACTTTAAATCAATCCATCGTAAGGCATAAATAATGACTGAACTTAATTTGACACCTTCCTTCAACTGGATCTCGAATATACTGAAATTTGTTTTAGTGTAAGGGTTCACAAAATAAATTTCTCTTCTGTCTAAAAAAAAAAAAAAAAAGATGTATTTATGAAGACCTAACCTAATCACGAAAACTCAGTAAGGAGAGCATAAACTTACCTCTTTAGAATCATCTATTCTTTCAAAATAAACAAAAGCAAATCCCCGTGATCGACCAGTCCGCTGATCATAAACAACGTTGACACCAGTCAAAGGTCCGTAGCGGGAAAAGACTTCACGTAGATCCCTTTCTGTGGTATACAAACTGAGACCAAACACTCCAAGGCATGTGTTAGGGTCTGGATTAGCCTGGTAAAATAAACATTCAATTCAAAATAAATTCCAATGAAGTGTTAGTGCTGCCATATTTATTTTCAATTACATTTCAAAATGTTTTAGGAGAAAACACTATATACTTTGTTCAGCCAAGTAGTCAACGGTTAGCACTTTTAACCTAATGTATTTTCCAAATCCAACATTTAATAAAGGTGAATTTAATATTTGTGGCACGATGCTGGATTGATAGCTCTGGAGCAGAGAGAATAAGAAAGCTGCTGTACAAGCTTTCCCCACACTGCACCACTAAGACGCTTCAGGCATAACATGAAAGAAAACTGATAGAGAAAAGGCCACATTTAGTATATCTAGGGGGCCCATATTATTAAGGGAATCTCAGATGGGAGGCACCAGCACATCTACACCCCAGATGGCAGGGTGGGACAGGATATTAGAGAGGCCCCTGGCTAGGCTCCATTCCCCCAGCGCAGAGGCCGCTAGCAGCCACCTGGGGCCGCCATGCACAGCCTGGGCCTTAGCAAGGACTGCAGCAGCAGGGCAGGAAGCTGCTGATGGTAGGTAACTATCCCAGCTGAGAAGTGGTGCCAGCCCATCCCCTTCGCCACTTCCATGTGCTGCTCTGCAGGAGCCGGCTTGGGCACTGGGAGCAGCAGCAGCAGCCTCATCCAGGACTTTTGCCTCAGTTTACCTTAACTGACCAGGGCAGCCTGCAACATCCGGGACATATGGTCAATCAGAGATAGATGAATGTATATATCTAAACCTCACCTTTGACCTCATCTCTCTCTCTATCCCACCTCTGACCTCAATACAAAGATTGGCTGACATTAATGTATGCCATTTTACACAATTCCTTCATGCATTTTGAGTTCTTTATCTCTTTCTAGACATGAAGATCTTAGTTAAACCTGCAATTTTCCATTAAGACTAAACATTACTACCACTTTCCGCTATGTGTGCATGCAACTGTGAATCAAAAGCACATTTCACATTAGTGAAGTTCACCTGTCCTATCATTATAAATTGGATCAAGATTAATGCCTCCTCTTATTTAGGCCATAGGATGTATCCATAGGAACATGTACTAAGCAGCAAGACAGACCAAAATTCTAGCTCAAGGTTCTTGGATTAACATTCTGGGTACGATAGAAATTGTGGAAGATTCATTTTGACTTTAAGAAGTAGACTAAAAATTAAATATAAAACTGTACATTTATTTCAAGGCTACTTTATCACTTTTATAAGCCACCTATTTTAAGTTATCCTGAGCAACAGTAGTTTTGCAACTGAAGCTTTCAACATCTGTGATGTTTAAGAGACAAACTAAGGGATCAGAGGAAAAAAATATCACTGCGTGGTACCTCTAAAAGGATAAGCAATAAAAGTTAGTATTGTATAAATTTAACTTTTGATTTAAACACCTCCCTATTTCAGTGAAGCATGGAAAAATACTTTCAGCCTTTCCAAACTCGAGAAAAACAAAACATAACAAAACATTTGTTTACACTGAATATTTTTGTTTGCCACCTTAAGATCAGGAATATATGCAGGTGGCATTCTGCAGCACAAGGAAAAATTTTACAGTGAAAGCTCACTGTATTGCCCGACTATATGCAGTAGTAATCTAGTTCCAGATTCAAGCTACTGACAGGCATACAAAATTAGGTATTCTTCAGTTTCATTTCATTGTTCAGGGAATTCTTGAACAAGAAGCCCAGATCATTTTTTCTAAAAGTTACACTACATGTAAGAAGGCATGGATAAACAGGAAAGAAATATCTGGAAATGTTAAGGGATACCTTAACATTTTTCAAGAAGATCAAGGTTAAAGCGGAAACACATTTAAAGCTGATAATACAGTAGGTACAGGTAAATACAAAGCAAACAAATAACTGCTCCAAAAGGACTTCTCCCTAAATTTTCTGTTATGGTCCAAAACATTGGCAAATTACATATATAAAATTATATATATATATATATATAAAAAATTTAAGTAATTAGTGCTTAAAGTATCAGCTTTAAGCGTATGTTTCATTTGTATGAATCTTTTACTGTAATAGAGAAAAACATTTGAAAATGTGCTACTAATTAACAGATCTAGTCTTATGCAAATAAAATTCCAAACCACTCAATTTTTCTTAGTTGACTAGGTTAGATTTGTTTCTTTTAAAATTTCGTTTAAGCCACTTTCTACCCAGATTCTGTATTGTTTTTAAAGGCATGATGATGTGAAGCAATATACAGTAAAAGCTTTGTTATCTGGCAACCATGGGGAATGGAGGGTGCCGGATAGCAAAATATGCCGGATAACTGAGCAGACCAAACAGGCATCTTTGGCTGTTCAGGCCGCCACTTGTCCTGCCACTTCTGGAGTATTGTCGCCCCTCGCACTGCACTGCCACCCCTCCCACCGCCCCGAGGGACAGGGAGGGGGGACCTGCGCAGCCTGCTATGCCCCTGGGCTGTGGGGGCTCTGTGAAACAGGAAGTGCCATAGTGGTCACTTCTGGTTTCACGTTTCCCTTCCAAGTCAACATGCCAGTTAACAAAGCATGCCGCCTTGTAAGGTGCCAGTTAACACAGTTTTTGCTGTGCCTGCAACTATCCTTGAGTATAGAAAAAAGACCAATAACATCAAAGAAATAAAATACATTTTATGAAAGTATTTATTTATAAGTGAAGATTATGACAGTATTTATAATGGGAAGATTATGAAGAAACAGTAAGCAACACCTATTAATAAAAAAAATACACAACTATGCAGGGAGCTGTATTAGCTACTCTATCAGATTCCTGCACCCTTTTCTGACAAGTCTGTCCTCTGCTTGTAACAGACCTTTGCAAAGTGAAAAGGAGATGACTTTGACCTCTTTGTCCTATGATACTGTACTAAGTTTTACGAGAGTTAAACAGCTGAAAATAAAAATCACCATTTTTTTTGGATCTAGAGAATCAAAGTATTAGTCTGTGGTCTGCAGCTGCTATTGCTGTTTTATAGTGTAGACAGCTTAGTACTAAACACCTGGAAGCCAAAAGAGACCATCCCACCTGAAGCTCCCAGAGTATGAAAAACTAACCTCAGAAACAGATGCAGGGTTCTGAAGCACACAACAAGATAAGAGGCTGTCAACATGGGGATCCTGAACTAGTCCACAGATGGTCATTAATTTATGATTAGGTACGTAATGGTTTCTAAAAAGCTTGTGCGTGGAAGTGACTAAGAACCAATACACTATTACGGGTGTCAAGCATACAGCACTCTGACCTCCCCCTCAATTGGATTTGGCACATGGAGCTGTTCCATGCAGTCTGGCTCACTGGGCTACTGGAAACTCAGGGACAGGAGGCATGGCCTGCTGCAGAATTCGGGGCCCTTTGTAGGCAAAGACACAGGTGATGGTGGTGAAGAGGTGGGGAGGAGAAAGGGGATGTTAACACAGCAGTGCCAGACCCTGAAGATCACCTTGTCTGACAGACTGATTATAACCCACAGTTCCCAGGTGAAATTTTGGTTTTGATTTACGTAAAAAGCATATGAAAATGTATATCCTTAACATGCACATTTACTCTTTAGATACTAAGAGATTTGTTTCATCTTGTATGCAGAGGACTAGGATGAGGCTCAGTTCTCAGGCTGAGGCCACTCTACAGGCCACTCCTTAGATATGCTCCAGCAACCTGCACAGAGCAGAAATGATCCACACTTAAACAAACAAGAGAGCCCACAGGGCAACCCCCTTTACCAAGAAGGTCAAAAAAAATAAATCCCAAGTGTAGTTCATCTTTAGTAAAGATTAGATGTGCACAGTCACAAGTGCTCTTGAATATAATATGCTGTGAACTATGCGTGCATAAGTAGTCAAGCAGCAGGGGGCAAGGAGGAAAGACTGGCACAGGAAGGCACAGCAGATCTGAAGACCCGAGTCCAGACATCATGATGCTGCTCAGAAACATCATTCTGCAGAGCAACACCTAGTATCAAGTGAAAGGGAATTGGTTCAAACAGTAGTCAAGCAATGTCTCTCTCATACTCCCGCAGTCAGCCTGGGTACTGGATGTCTCAGATCTTACCTCTTTCATTAACATACACAAAAACAAGAATTTTCACATGCACTTCTAAGATAGATATTCTTTTCTGTTTTAATAGAAAGCAGTTAACAAAGAATTAATTATTTAGGTTAATACTTAGCCTTGATGAATACCACATACTCTGCTGCCAGTATGCCTCCTTCGGTTAGACATTGGAGAATGACTGCGGCTCCTTCGACGACGATATTCTGGTGTGTATGATCTGCTCCGAGATCGTCTCCTATGGGAATGGGAATGGGAGTGGGACCTGGAGCGAGTGTAACGTCTATGAGAATGTCTTCTTGATCTGGACCTTCAAAAAAAGCATTCAGTTACTTATGTGCCAAATACACATGGTATATAAAAAGACACAGACCCCACAGGATTTTTAATAAACTTTACTTCAAAATTTAAAATATCCTTTTAGAGTCTACTTTTTACTTCATCTATTAATTCTAAAATTGCAAATCTATCTATAATTGTTTTGAATTCCCTCAGGTTTGTTCAGTAGCACAACTGAGATGGCAGTTATACTTCTGACATGCATCTAAGAAGTTTTAAAAACAAAGATTATTCACACAGGCAAATTAACAAGAAACATCTGTAGCAAAGCAACTACATAAAAAATCTATGCCCTATGATTTGTGCATCATGCATCAGGAGGGAAACAAAGATCCAGTAGTACTTCAAACTTGCACAACTGAGGCAAATTTAGGCTTAGAAGTAAAACAAACCTAGGGCCAAAAGTACTTTCCTAGTTTCTTAAGTAGCAGTTTGGTTTTAGCAATTTAACAGGTTGCTTCAGAAAGCAGAATTACATGGTTTTGCATCCACAGTTGGTAGGGTCAGAAGGGACCTAATCAGATCATTGAGTCCGACCCCCTGCCATAGGCAGGAAAGAATGCTGGGGTCAAATGACCCCGGCAAGGTGTCTATCTAGCCTCCTTTTAAAGATCCCCAGGGTAGGAGTGTGCACCACTTCCCTTGGAAGCTGCTTCCAGCTCCCGGCCGCCCTGATTGTGAAGTAGTGCCTCCTGAGGTCTAGCCTGAATCTACTTGCAGTCAACTTATGGCCATTATTCCTTGTTACTCCCGGTAGTGCCTGGGGGAACAGGTACTCTCCCATTGCCTGCTGGTCCCCCTTGGCCAGTTTGAAGACGGTCACCAGATCCCCTCTCAACCTTCTCTTGTGGAGGCTGAACAGGTTCAGGTCCTGTAGCCTCTCCTCATAGGGCCTGCCCTGGTCATGCAAGTGGCCCTCCTCTGGAGGCTCTCAATGCTGTCCACATCCCTCCTGAAGTGCAGCACCCAGAACCGGACGCAGTACTCCAACTGCGGCGTGACCAATGTTGTTTTGAGGGGGAGGATCACCTCCTTGGACCTGCTCCTGATGTATTTATCGATACAGGACAAGGTGCAGTTAGCCTTCCTGACCACTTCCCCACATCGGCGGCCCATGTTCATTTTGGAATCAATAATGACTCCAAGATCCTTTTCTGCCTCTGTGCTGAAAAGGGAGTTCCCCAGCCTGTAGGTATGCTGCTGGTTCTTCCTCCCCAGGTGCAGTACCTTGCACTTGTCTGTGCTGAAACCCATCCTATTCTCATCTGCTCACCTCTGTAACCTGCCCAGATCTAGTTGTAGCCTGTCCCTCCCTTCTAGCATGCCCACTTCTCCCCACATTTTAGTGTCAGCTGCAAATCTGAACAAGGTGCTTTTCACCCCCTTGTCCAGGTTGCTGATGAAGATGTTGAACAATTCGGGTCCAAGGACAGAGCTCTGGGGAACCCCACTGCCTACATCCCTCCAGGTCAAAAAAGACCCATCCACCACCACTCTCTGGGTGTGGCCCTCCAGCCAGTTTGCAACCCATCTGACTGTGTAGATGCTGACACCACAGATGCCTAATTTTTTAATGACGATGGGGTGAGACCATGTCGAAGGCCTTCCTAAAGTCCAGAAAGATTATGTGTACTGCGACATCTGTGTCCAAGGATTGTGTGACCTGGTCATAGAAGGCAACCAGGTTGGTCTGACAGGACCTGCCTCTAATGAACCCATCTTGGTTGCCCCTAAGCATAATCTCCCCTGCTGGTCCCTCATAGATGTGCTCCTGGATAAATTTTCTTGAAGAGCTTTCCCAGGACCGAGGTAAGGCTAACAGGCCTATAGTTTCCTGGATCCTCCTTCCTCCCTTTTTTGAATGTGGGGACCACACTGGCCTTTTTCCAGTCCTCTGGCACCTCGCCAGAGAACCACGACTGCTCATAAAGCTGTCCCAGGGATCCTGCAATGACCTCTGCCTTTTGCCTCAGCACTCTGGGGTGGAGATCATCAGGACCTGCTGATTTGAACATGTCTAGTCCACCAAAAGTTCCCTGACTAGGCCCTCAGTGACTCTGGGCCTGGCCCATATCATGAGCACTGATAGATTATAATCTTCTAAGTTACATGGCTGGAAAAAAACAATTATAGAAATAAAGGACTAGAAGGGAACTTCAAGAGGGCACCTAAATACAGTTCCCTTGCCAAAGTGGTATCAAATCTAGTTAAAGTATTCCCCGAAAGAGATTTACTATTTCTTCTTTCTGCAGCCACGCAAAGACTGCTGACCACAACAACTTCTTACCTATTGGAATATTTACGTCTGCTTCAGCTTTTTCTCTCTCCTGATCCAATAAACAAATCCAATTCCTTCAAACTTCACATGCAGGCCATGTTTTCTAAACCTCCTGTTCTTCCTGCTTTCCTATGGTCTGTCTCCACTTTGCCTATCAAACTTTTCTAAAATGTGTCCAAATCAAGATGGACACATTATTTGTGCTGCTTCACTATTGAAGTCCAGAATAATAATCAACACCTAGATCTTGTGTAGGGCACTCCTATTAATATTTCAGAACGATATTTGTGCTTTCTTCTGCACCGGCATTGCATTATTAACTAATTTGCCACATGTTCCAGTATAACACAGATTCTGGTCACCATCTTGGGACCAGAAGTCCCTCCCCTTGCCCCCGAAACTACTGCTTTCAGCAAGAGGGCAGTAGGAACCACAAAAAAACCAAATTATATTCTAAAAATCAAGTATCTACAACATTCATTGATTTGATTTAAAAAAAAATAACTGTCTTGATTTACAAGTATTTGCATAATGTATATAGAGATGATTGTATAATAGCTTCAAATGAAGTCTTACTCTTGTATGTTGAAGGGGGTGGAGCGTATGGGCAGGTGGGTATAGGTTTGTGGGGGGGCTGTGGGTGTCTGTGGGGTGTTGGGGAGGATGTGGATGTGTATGGGATGGGTATGTGGTGTGGAAGAGCATGTGGGTGCATGTGTGTGGATATTGAGGTGCAAGTGGGTATGAGGTTTGTGGGGGGAGGGTGGCTGGGGGGAGTTGTGGCATGTGGAAAGGAAGGTAGCTGGACTGTGCATGGGTGTATGGTGATGTGAGGGAGGGTGAGGGTACATGTGTATGGTGGTGTGTGCAGTGGGACACCCCTTCAAACCCTCCCCCCTCATTGCTTGGCAGGGGCTATGGGCAGTGGCAGCAGCAGGCTGCGAGGCCTCAGGGCACTCATGGCCCATGACAGGCAGAGCTCCTGCCAGCCTGGACTCAGTGCTCCTGCCACCCCTGACCATGGGGTACTGTTGCAGACCTTTCACTACCACTTGCTGCCACTTCTCCACCCTGCCCTCACTTCTGCTACTTCTCTACCTCCACCCCCTGCCCATGGTTCCAAGCTGCATGGCCAGGACCGCAAAACACAGCAAGAACCAGGCTAGCCTGGCTGGCACCACACAGAGCCAGCCAGGGAACTGTGGGGGCCAGGCCTGGCCAGCTCCTGCAGTGTCCTGTGGTCCTGGCCACACAGCTAAGAATTGTGTGGTGCCAGAGCAGCAGTTGGGCAGAGGGGTGAGGAGAAGTGGCAGCAGGAAATGACATTCAACACATAAAACAAGGTGGAAGTGGGGGACTTAAAAACCCTGATTTTGGCAGTAAATGGGAAGAGGAGTAATGACTGTCTTTAACTCCCTGGGTTCTGGAGCTGCACAAGTGAGGAATAACATTACCTCAAGGGCTTTGGCAGCAGTGGCAGTAAAATCCCACATGCCTAACCTAGCCCATGGATGTGGGTGGTCCATGGGAAACCCCACAGGTTAAGCAACGTACGTGCAGGCCAGATTTGGCCCACAGTAACCACCCCCCTTCTCCCCTGGTTTACATGATCTGCTCTAGATAAACCAATAAATAGCCAAAGTAAGTGTACTATCAAGTGCCTGT